GGCGTGCTGTGGTCCATGGGGTCACGAAGAGTCAAACGTGACTTAACGACTAAACAACAACAAAATTCCTCTACCATAACAGTGATAGTGCTAGAATCAGGTGAATTTCCCATTGCCTCCTTCCACTCAGCCCAAAAGCCTCTTTTCCTACTGTTTTGTGCTTACCTGGATACTGCTGAGTGCTGCCACACCCATGTAGAGAAAAACACCATACAGCACAGGCATTGGAATAAACTGGGGGGAAAGCATAAGCATTACTCAAAATGGACCTTCCTAGACAACATTCTATGAAACACCACTATCCAAGTCAGCTTGATGCTGACTATGTGAAAGCAAAGCAAAACAAAACAGACAGCCGTTACCAAAAGGAATCAAGGACTAGATGGGCACATGCCTTTGTTGGAGGGAATTTTGGAAGGATTCCATGGATCCAGGGGTAATAATATGTTCTTGAATCTATGCACAAACAAATCCAAAGACTCTGTCCCCCAGCCCCACGCTTCCCACCTGTTCTGCCTCTTCCTAAGCATATATCGTACAGAATTCCAGATACTCCAAGCTTAATAGTGCAGCAGGAGCATTCAAGGCCGCAAAATTGCCTGGGGATTCAAGTGATCTTACCTTCAATAAGAAACCAGTTAGTGTCATAATATGTTAAATATGTGCTGATATTTGCTTATGATAGCTGTGAGCATAATTCAGTTGCAGAAGATTAAGTTTGCCTTCTACCACGGACCCAAAGATCTCTGCGGACACTACCCAAGGCAAAGATATAGTGGTGCCCTGCCTGACGATGATAATCCGTTCTGTTAAAATTGCTGTTAAGTGATATTGTCGTCAAGAGAAAGAAAAAATCCATTGAAATGCATTGAAAATCAGTTCAGTGCATTCCAATGGGCAAAATACCTCATCGTCCTGCGAAGATCCTCCATAGGGGAAGCCATTTTTGGTTGCTGTCTTCCGGAAATAGGTCCGGAAAACAGCAGGCGGCCATTTTGAAACCTGCTGATCAGCTGTTTTTGATCGTCGCAATGCGAAGAATTGGTTCCCAAAGCAGGGAACCGATCGTCATAAAATGGATTTTCCCCTTTGAATCATCGTTTTGTGATCGCAATAGCAATCGCAAAAACCTCATCGTGAAGCGATTTTGTCGTGGAGCGGGGGAATCGTCAAGCGGGGCACCACTGTATTCATTTCAGCCCTTGCCAGTGTTAGGAAAGTACAACGAGGCTTTGTTACCTTGAGTACAGGTGCCAAGAACACAGAAAGCCCAGTGAGGATGAAGACCATCAATCCTGTCACTCTCTGCTCCCTGCAAGCAAGAGTAATTCTGAATTAGACATTTACATCTCAGTGGGCAACCATCCCTGCCATTCCCTCGCCCCCCCTAGCTGCTGGGAGGAATAGGTATCCAGCAGAGGTACCCATTGTTTAGGAGAAAAAGAGGAATTTAAAGAGAACAGGTTGCAAAATCCACATTGAGGCTGCTCTGAAGAAGAGCCCTTGCCCAGTACCTGATTCCAAGGAACTTTGGTTGCTCGCCTGGAGCACAAGTCGTGCTCTCTTTCTTCAGACCCTCCATATGGGCCAGGGATATGACTGTAGCTGACACGTACCAGGGCAAGCCCAGAAGAGAGGTAAGAATCATCAGTAGGGAAACACAGAAGAAATCTAGATGAAATCCCGCCCCTTTCTGCAAAAGAAAAGCGAGCGACATGAGCTGGAGGATGTGCTTGGGAGGCCTTATATAGTACTTTCCAGTCCAGACATTTTCTAATCTCGTGGAGCAATGAACATCTTCATCTTTTCCAAACATGGTGTGTTTCTCACCATTTATATGTATATGTTTTAATCTACTGGTTATGTCAGTATCCTGCTTCTTCACCAATGAGCTCATACATGGATTCTTCCCCATTTGACCCTTGTAACACTGTGAGGCAGGGAAGGCTGAGAGAGAGAGAGAGGGATCAGCCCAAGGTCACACAGAGAGTTGTGCCTGTTGGTATGGTCTAGAACCTAAGTCTTCCCAGCCCCTATAACTGCTCAGTTTGTGGCAGCTATGCACTACCTGTCTATTTTCTCACAAAGCCCTACTCAGAACAAGATTTCTGCGCTTCAGAATCTATTTAAGGGCAACGTGAAGAATTGAAATATATTCTCCCTCCCTCCCTCCCTCTCTCTCACAAACACACACACCTCTATCTCTCAACATTCAAACACAATGGCTGAAATCCTGTTGCACAGTTACACAAATGGTGCAACTTGTAGCTGTGAACTGCTGTCAGTTAAGAAATCTTTGTACACATTTTCTGTTACCTATTGAATCACATGACTTGGATTATATCTAAGGAAATGTCATAACAAATAGCAATTATTATCTCAAAGTTAAACATTTGCATAACTACACAACAGAATTTCACTAATACTACATATACATCCATTTATTATATCTCTGTCTGGATCTAGATACTGATATAATACTACGTATTCTTTGGCAAAACTATCAGCACAGCTAAGTATTTCCAAAGAGCAAAACACATTGATTCAACCCTTTAAAAAAGTCAATCAATTGTATACAACAGATGTTTATGTAAAAAACAGATTCTAGCATGAAACAGGTGCTCTGATTAGTAACACCTGGTTCCTTAAGGGGTTTCAAATTTTAAATCATTAATGTTGGTTTTGATCTTTTTCGGTTCTGCAATCTAGTAATAGGTTGATTCCTTAGAAGGATATAAACATTGAAAATACTTCATGTTGTATAAGTCTTAGTATTGTCACAACTGGAGTCCAAGACTATGAGATAAACACAATAGTCAGTCTTAATGAAACAGTGACAGATAGTCTGAACATTTGCTCATTGCTGTAAATGACCTGGATTAGTTTACAAAAGACAGTTACTCTACCTATGATTATGAACACTTTGAGACTCCCTACCAATGTTAAAAATGTAATTCTCATCTTCTTTTGTCCCCTTCATGGATTGCTGCCTTGTCGTGGTGAAGGGGCTTGAGTAATTCAGAGAAGCTATGGGCTATGCCATGCAGGGATACCCAGGACAGACAGGTCATAGTGGAGAGTTCTAACTAAACGCGATCCACCTGGAGAAGGAACTGGCAAGCCACTCCAGTATCTTTGCCAAAAAATCCCCACGAACAGAAACAAAAGGCTAAAATATATGATGCTGGAAAATGAGGCCCCCAGGTCGGAAGGCATCCATTATGCTACTGAGGAAGAGCGGAGGACAAGTACAAGTAGCTCCAGAGCTAATGAAGTGGTTGGGCCAAAGCTGAAAGGATGCTCAGCTGTGGACACACCTGAAAGTGAAAGGAAAGTCTGATGCTGCAGAGAAGAATACTGCATAGGAACCTGGAATGTAAGATCTATGAACCTTGGTAAGCTGGATGTGGTCAAACAGGAGATGGTAAGAATCGCCATTGACATCCTGGGCGTCAGTGAACTAAAATGGATGGGAATGGGTGAATTCACTTCAGACGATTATCATATCTACTATTGTGGACAAGAATCCCGTAGAAGAAATGGAGTAGCCCTTATAGTCAACAAAAGAGGGGGGAAAGCTGTACTGGGATACAATCTCAAAAAAGATCTAATGATTTCAATACGAATCCAAGGCAGACCTTTCAACATGACAGTCATCCAAGTTTATGCACCAACCACCAATGCTGAAGAGGCTGAAATTGACCAGTTCTATGAAGACTTACAACACCTTCTAGAACTGACACCAAAGAAAAATGTTCTTGCCATTATAGGGGATTGAAATGCTGAAGTAGGGAGTCAAGAGAGAAAAGGAACAACAGGTAGGTTTGGTCTTGGAGTTCAAAAC